TGAGTGTTTAATTTAAGTTTTAGTACCTAAACAATTGAATTCTTATCTTAATCTATACTTATAATAAATCTGTAGAGAGGTCAATTCTGTACATGAAATATATTTTCAAAATAACTATCAGGGGGTGATTAGTGATCGATACTGATGGCAAAAATGCAATCAGTAAAATTTTTGTCTGTCTGTCTGTCTGTCTGTCTGTCTGTCTGTCTGTCTGTATGTTCCTTATAGAAACAAAAACTACTCGACGGATTTTAACGAAACTTGGTACAATTATTCTTCATACTCCTGGGCAGGTTATAGGATACTTAGGAATTCCCACGGGAACGGGCATTAGCGGGAAAATCCTTTTGTATGAAAAATCTAAACCGCTTAAGTTAGACGCTTGAAATTTGGCAAGCAAGTACCTTAGTGAACTTAAAGCTTAGTTATAACAGGATATTGCAAAATTCCTACGGGAACGGGAATTAGCGAGAAAAAACATTTGTATGAAAAAATCTAAGCCACGTAAGATAGACGCTTGAAATTTGGCATGCAGGTACCTTAGTAAATGTAAAGCTTAGTTACAACAGGATATTGCAAAATTCTCACGGAAACGGGAGCTAGCGGGAAAAAACATTTGTATGAAAAAATCTAAACTGCGTAAGTTAGACGCTTAAAATTTGGCATGCAGGTACCTTAGTAAACTTAAAGCTTAGTTACAACAGGATATTGCAAAATTCCTACGGGAACTGGAATTAGCGGGAAATTCCTTTTGTATGACTGACGCACTGACATACCCACGCACAGCCTAAACGGCTAAACGTAGGCACTTGAAATTTATAAGGGACGTAGCTTAGGTATCGTAAAGGTGCACTAAGAAAGGAATTTCCGAAATTCCCACAGGAACAGGAATTACCGGGAAAATTCTTTTGTATGAAAATTCTAAACCGCTTAAGTTAGACGCTTGAAATTTGGCATGCAGGTCCCTTAGTAAACTTAAAGCTTAGTTACAACAGGATATTGCGAAATTCCAACGGGAACGGGAGTTAGCGGGAAAAAACATTAGTATGAAAAAATCTAAGCCGCGTAAGATAGATGAAGGGGGTAAAACGGGATCCACGCGTACGAAGTCGCGGGCGGCCGCTAGTAACTTAATAAAGTTCAAGCGTTTGTCTGAGACTCAGAATATGCCCTTTGGGTTGTACAAATACCTACAGAATAATTTAATTAATTATTTTATTTATGTAAATCAGCAGAGGACAGCATAGAGTGGTCTAATTAAATTATGGATGTATTTTATGTGGTCAGGTAGAGTCTTACGCCCGTATTCACAAACATTACTATGAGGTCTCACAATGCGCGTGGACGCACAGGGTCGCACACGAACCAATCACAGAGCTCTATTCAACGCTGTGCGTTCGAATTGCTGCTTCACTTAAGCAAGCATCATAAGTTTGGCAGGAAACGGGACCCATGGCAGGGGGTCATAACGCTATCTCTTCATAAATTATAACTGCGTGTGTAAAATAGATCGTCGGTACACCTAGTCGCAAGCTTGCCCACACTACGTCTTCCGGCTCGTGGTTGCCACTCGATATGTAGAATGGACCGACGATCTGGTGAAGGTAGCGGGAAGCACCTGGATGCGGGCAGCGTAGGACCGGTTTTTGTGGAAATCCTTGGGGGAGGCCTTTGTCCAGCAGTGGACGTCATTTGGCTTAAACCACAGAACATAGAGATAGGTTTCTGTGTGTAAGAAAGAAGAGGAGGAAGAAATACGTTTCAATGTTATTTAATGCAAAACAACTGTTTTTATTTCCGTACTTATGGGCGTATCGAATAATTCTCACATTTAGAATTTGAAGTGATGTCCTTCAAAATTATCGTTTTTCGAGATAGCCGCATCATCCCACATAAACATTTTTGTCAATTTATTAGCATAATTTTAGCATACATCTCACTTGTTACAGGTAAGTGCGAGCGAGACGGCGGAACTAGTTTGGGCCTCCGGAACCGGTCAATGTGTAACAGGTTGGATTTTACTATGGACGCGTCCGAAAAAGTTAGAATTAGTTAAGCACGAAAACTAATGAAAGTCAAGGTTCCGTACCTTCCGTGTTGACATTATTTGGTCGCATACGAGTTTTCTATTACTGCTATTACGTGGTTACTAAATAAGACAATAATAAGAAACGCTCTGCTGCTTTTTTTTATCCACAACGAGGAAGCTCTTGGCCTGTATCTCACCTGATGGTAAGTGATGATCAGGCCGAAGGTGGAAGCGAGCTTCACCTGGAATCCTCAACCACGGAGGAGGTTTTATCCAGGCACTGCAATCTTCTGGAAGTCTCTAAGACAGGGGAGGGAACCCCTCTCTACCATATGATTGACTTGAGACGTGGTATCTTCTCTTCTCAACTTGACAAGAGTCCAAAGTTTGGACAGAATTCGCACAGCTCTTTTACTGTCAATTTATTTCACGTTTCGGATCTTAAACCTTAAATATTTAACAATAGTTGTTAAGTTTGCATTTAACAAGTGTCATTTTTTAGGGTTCCGTAGCCAAAATGGCAAAAACGGAACCCTTATAGTTTCGTCATGTCCGTCTGTCCGTCTGTCCGTCTGTCCGTCTGTCCGTCTGTCCGTCTGTCCGTCTGTCCGTCTGTCACAGCCGATTTACTCGGAAACTATAAGTACTACAGTGATGAAATTTGATGGGAATATGTGTTGTATGAACCGCTACAAAATTATGACACTAAATAGTAAAAAAAAGAATTGGGGGTGGGGCCCCCCATACATGTAACTGAGGGATGAAAATTTTTTTTCGATGTACATACCCGTGTGGGGTATCAATGGAAAGGTCTTTTAAAATGATATAAAGTTTTCTAAAAAACATTTTTCTTAAAGTGAACGGTTTTTGAGATATCAGCTCTCAAAGTCGTAAAAAGTATGTCCCCCCCCCTCTATTTTTATAACTACGGGGTATAAAATTCTAAAAAAAATAGAGGTGATGCATGCTAATTAACTCTTTCAACGATTTTTGGTTTGATCAAAGTATCTCTTATAGTTTTTGAGATAGGTTGATTAAATTGACATAATAAGTTTATTATATTTGCTGCTACGGAACCCTTTGTGCGCGAGCCCGACTCGCACTTGGCCGGTTTTTATAGTTACTTTTGTGAAGCCTCAATGTAACCTTGTTGGTGTTCAAATAAATAAATAAATAAATAGATAAGACACATACTTAAAAATGTCTATTGAATATTACTAATTAATTAAGAAACAATAAACAATACTCATTTCTTGATATTATAACTGTTTATCATGCACTTTAACATAATTATTGTATTCTCGCCGAATACCGGTGGAGACACACTACAGGGTCAAGGGTACGAGGTTCGCTTGAACTTGGCAATGACGATGCCAAGTTTGACGTTGATCTTGTTTACTTGCTGTACATTGTGTTGTGATTGACTTAATTGCAGTCATATACTCGCCTGATTATAGTTGATTACTGGGTTATATCACACAGTGCATCCATTGAAAACTTTCCACAGCGACTGTTTACACAACAGAAATATTTTTCAAGCATTTGCGATGCCCTAGGTAGCCGAAATATTTACCAAATGCATTTTGTACTACTTATCCTGACAGTACTTCTAAAATAGCACCTATTTTAACTCACAGCATAGTGTTTAACATGATGTGCTGTCATCTCATGTTCATTGAGAAGTAAGACAAATGATGTGGAGACAATTTGTCGTCAGCAATTAGCAATCTATACTAATATTATAAATGCGAAAGTAACTGTCTGTCTGTCTCGCTTTCACGGCACGGTAATTTGGCAGGGAGATAGTTTGAGTCCCGGGAAAGGACATAGGATAGTTTTTATCCCGGTTTTTAAAACAGGGATGCGCGCGATAATTTTTTCTGTGACAGACAAAATTCACGCGGGCGAAGCCGCGGGCGGAAAGCTTGTTGCCAATAAACCAAAAAGTTTGCTTAGGTCTTCTTAAGGATATCAATCAAGCTCTCACTCCTTCTCTCTCTGTGTTTCTATTTGTGTATTTCTTCTCATTCTCTCTGAAAATATATTCATGGCAAGTTGAAGCTAACTTTTAAAGCTACTAAAAACCCTTTTTTAACGTCTCTTTTTTACATCGTTTGGCATACGCCAGCCCCAATAACCATGACCATATCACTTTCTAGCGATAAGATCTGAATCGTGCCGTTTGCACTAGTTGTATTTTCAGTAAACTGCTTATTTTGGGTGTTTTGTGATTTCCATTAGAGTAAGGATTTCCCACACTGGATGCGGTCTGTGGTCAAAGCATAGATTAATAAAGTTTAGAAAGATAAAAGCGCACAAAAAATGAGGCAACTTTTAGTACACCATTCTGGTCCACTTGAAAATTGAAACTTATAATTTTTAAATAACAAAATTAAATAATAACATTTTATTACGAATGTGGATAAAAACCTCTCAATTTCTATAATATCGCCATAATTTAAACATTTTTAACAACGTTTTGACAGTAATAATGATATTAATGACATACGATTTTTGCCTCACTTTTGACGAAGTGTTTGTATGAAGACACAGCCTAGATGGATAAGGCTTTATTAATCTAAGGGTTAAAGTAATCATCCGTTATGAGGGCTGCGTTCGCTTTGATCTGACCGCAGACCGCAACTAGTGTGAATAAATCCTTTACGCTACGTCTTTGCTGTCTGATAAATCATTTAATACAAGGGGTAGGTATATTTAATAAATAAACAGAACTAATAATACGTATGACGGTAAAATAATTAAAAATAATGCAAATAAAAGCGGCGAAAATAAACATTACAATCTTTATTTAGCTCGTAAAATCACGAAACAATTTAACAAGGAAAACAAACAGAAATGTGCAGAAATAGAATCTATTTATATAACAAGGCCCATTTATAAAAGGTTTGCGAAGTTGATACATTTCTAGATCTAGTACCAATAATCCTTGGAGGAAAACAACCGGCGGATTATAGCTCTCCTTACGGAACCCTGAATCAACGCACACTCTCCATTGCGTGTTCCTTCAAACCATTTTGCAACGGAATTTGTAATTCTCAATAATAACAATTATCCTTTTATCACGACCTTCATTATTGAACTTTGGTTAACTCACTTACTATTGTTTTCATAAATGCATAACAGACCAAGCGCGTGCGCAGCGTAGTCGTATATAGACGCCGCAACCGCGGGGCCAGTCCAGTCGGAAACATGACGTCCAAAGGATTCTACATATTCAATATCCTTCTCCTAATATCGATCGCAACTTTACTGTACGCTATACGGCTCCCCATCAACACAGAGACGAAAATATCCTGGGGATATCCCAAAGATTCCCTATTTAATTTCACGGAGCTCACAAATGAATATGGATACAGCTCTCAGGAACACACAGTCGTCACGGAAGATGGATACATCCTTACCATGTTCAGGATAAATAAAGGAAGGAACTGCAACGGAAAAACCAAACTTCCACCGGTGATCCTCATGCATGGACTTCTCCAGAGCTCCGACTCCTGGCTGGACGCGGGGCCCGACGCTGGACTAGCGTACCTGATAGCAGACGAGTGCTTCGACCTCTGGGTCGGCAACTGCAGAGGCAACTACTACTCCAGAAGACACGTCTCCTTGAACCCTGATACGGATCACCAGTACTGGCAGTTTTCTGTAGACGAAATCGGATATTACGATGTCCCGGCTATGATGGATTACGTGCTGGACCACACGGGAGCTGACAACCTGAACTACATTGGATTCTCTCAAGGCGCTGGTACTTTCTTCATCATGTGCTCCGAAAGACCTGGATACTGTGAAAAGGCGAACGTGATGATTGCTTTGGCACCTGCAGCGAGACAGACAAATACGGGTTCTATTCTGTACAGATTTATAATGGAAAGTGTCTACACAATTGAGGGTATCTTGAAAAAGACGAGTGTTGGTGAGATCTTACCCAAGGGCTCTTTTAGCCAGGAGTTCCTCGCGTTCTTTTGCCAGCTGAATTCGATGACCGGTAGCATATGTACTACTGTTCAGTCTTTGTTAGACGCCTACCACCCGGGATCGGTATCCAACGAGACCACTAGAGTGCTCTATGGTCATTTCCCTGCTGGTACCTCAGTGCATAATATGGCGAGATACGGTCAAAGTATGATGCGGAATGATTTTGCGAAATTCGACTACGGGAAGGTGCATAATTTGGAATTGTATGGAAGTGAGGAGCCTCCGAAGTACAATCTTAGTGCGGTAACAGTGCCGGTGGTGACTTTGTATGGCAGGAACGATGGGTTGGTAGACGTGAAAGATGTGAAGTGGTTGCTGAAGAAACTGCCGAATGTTGTTGAGGAGATGGCGGTGTCGGACGCCCTGTGGACCCACCTGGACGTGACGTATAGTCAGTATACGAGAACATTGATATTTCCTAAGATTTATGAGCATTTACAAAGCAATAGTTACAATTAGATTGTTTGTTAATTTTATATTTAAGTGAAAGAGAGTGCTCATTAATGCAATCTAAGTCATTATGTTTAACATTAAATTATATTTTATTTAAATGATTCTTGTTCAAACTTTACAATTTGTTTAAGAAATAAAGGGGAAATAATTCTATAACTTTTTCTTTCTTTTTGTTTTTAAGTCGTTATGTTCCACATAATTCAACGTAATAATGGTATACTCAACCATTCGGGTTAAAGTTAAAAATAGATACTAAAGATAGGCATCATTAGAACCAAATAAACGACTAATGCAAATAGTGATTAATTAAAAATGCGTGTTCTTAATTTGGTAACAAATCAAAAATCATTAAAATTTGTTCGCATTACATGTGTGGTTTGACAGTTGGTAAGTGCTAGAAAGTACATCGCATAACTTTGCTTAATATTTGTTGCCAAGACACCATGAAGATTCTTATAAGCATGATAAAAACATAATATTATAACACCCTCATGGACTGTTGGTTCTCGTAACGGGCTGCCAGAGGTCGGTAGTTCAGTCCCCGCAAAATACAAATATTTGGGTGCATATCTGTTTGTATAGGCAGGTGTTTTCTGCGTATTTTGTATGCATTTACGTAGGATAATCTTTTGTAGGCCTTTTTAGGGTACTTACACATAGTACAAGATTTGCTTAATTCATACTCACATTAACAAGTATATTGTAGTTTTCCACACTAAAAAACCATTACAATGATGTAATACAAACCACAATATTATTAAATTTTAATATACAATAGGTTAATTTCAAAGAATGTGCCCTACAAAGTAAAATCCATTTACTTTATGGGCAAAACCATCATCTTGACAGGCTAATGATAGTAAATTGTTGAACTGTGGTATCTCCCGACCTTTACCATGAAAAAGTTAAAGGTTTTCAAGCCCCTTTGATAACTTATTCTAGTATTGTTTTAGCAATAGAAAGTATTTTCTCCTTGAAGCTATTCGTGCATGCTATAGATCGTGGAATGGAGCAATGGCCGAAATTTTTCCAACCGTGAAAAATGCGCGGCTTATTCTAGCATCGTGCGATAACACTAGAAATAAGTATATTTCTAGCACAGGCATTTATTTCGAAACATACCTGCATTCATAGAGTTATTTTTATTTTATTTATAAAGGATAGAGAAGCTATCGTAAGCAAAATTCTTGCTCCATTTTGGAAAAATTAAAAGTAAAGCTCGCTGTAGCGTAACATTAGTTCCGTCTTCTTACCAAAGTATTAAAATAAGCAGCGCTAGATCGGTTAAGCTTCAGCCAAACCAACGCGTGCAGATCGCGTCGGCGGTGGCGATCACTGCGGCGCAATGACAAGACTGACTCTATAAATGCTTAGAGGACTTGATGACCGCGTGTGCTAGGTGCGACTGGCAATCCGCGCTCCTACATCGCCGCTTTTCTTCTATACGATCAGCATTTTTTTCATATTTACATTACACAGGGCGTTTTTATTGCTGAATTTCATTGAAGTGACAACTGAGGCTAATACTGGCTTCCGGTATAAAACCGAGAAAAATTGGTATACGGAAGAAAACTGCCACAGTCGAGAGGTCAATTATGTACATAGTCAATGTTAGTATATTGTGTCTCTTTATTTTAGTTAGACAGTTATAAGTTACTTGTTCAGAGAATTCTGTAATGCTTCAACCACACCAACGCGTGCAGATCGCCATCGCTGCGCGGCGCGATCATAGACCAATGACAGGTCGCGCGGACTGTCATGGGTCGCGCGACCTGTCATTGGCCTATGATCGCGCCGGCGATAGCAATCTGCACGCGTTGGTGTGGTTGAAGCTTAAGTTAGTGAAGCCAATAGAATCCCCAGATGCTATCGACTCGTGTGCGATAAAGGTCGCACGAGTGCCGAATAGGTCAAGTTTAGTGCGGTTATCGGAGGCCATTCACCTCGGCTACTGATTGCCTATGTCTATTTACCTGGTTACCTATATTCATTTTGTTATGTAAATAATAAATGTTTAATACATAATAACAAACTATGTAAAAGTACATGTATTCGTACAATTTTAAAAATTGAAGGCCAGATAACGAATTATTTGCCTCGTGTAGAGTTAATTTTCTTATAGTATTAGCATAGTTAGAGTAATATTACTTTTCTCGTTACTAGTAGAATCTGAATATGCGACTGTATCAAAGTATCTGAATAACAAGCAATTGAACTATATCGTTTAGGCCCGATTCGACCAAACTTTTCTCCGAGAATAACTCCTGGTATAACTGGCACATTGACAGTTTCAGTATGGGAAATATGTCAAAACTGACGATTTATTCTGAGATTAATGTTAACAAACAAAATGAAAAACAAGTGACGTCATGTATACCTTTTACATACTTATTTTTATCTTTACCTTATTTACTTTATCCTTAACAGCCTCACATAATTATAAATTATGTCTGTATATTTGTCATAATATGCTGGCATATGCCACAAATCACTTTTAACCGGTTACGTCTTAGCTCAGAATTTAAAGTATATGAAACATTTTAATGGCGTATAATTATCTACATTACGATACATTAATTCGACTGTTCAAATGCAACAACTTTTCTCAAGAGAAGGAAATCCAAATCTTCCAAAAAAAATTTAACCTTTTCATAGGTCATTGGTATGAGGACATCAATATTTTTGAGATTTTGGATATTTAGCTTTTCAAAATTGTAAATAATTTTATACCTACCATATGTGACAGAATATTAATATTGCTGGTTGAATATTGGAAATTTGGAATATCCATAATCCAGTGCCATAAATACATAAATATGTATATCAAAAGTGGTATAGATCCTGTCATTACCACTGACGTCATAAGGGTCTTCATTAACATATTTATGCTCCAATTAATGGAAAATTACTAAGGCTTACTCCCAGATTAAAGTACATCGAGTGCAACAAGTCAGACTAAACATATTCGTTCCAAAATCGCCTTTATTTCAAACCACACTGCGTAGCTGGTCGTGGCTCATCTGTAGGCAAGGATCACGCCTTTAAGATTCCGTGTACCATTTAAGAAGTACATAATATAAAGATATTTTTGTATGAATTACAATTACTATGTTTCTAACAATGCACCTAGTAGCTGTCAGTCAATAGTAGGTACTTATTCATAGGAAATTCTAAGATGTGTCTTCCGGCATCTATGAACTATGAACTCAAAATTGTATTTCCTTCTTGAGTAAGGGCTGATTTTTCAATCGTCAGATATTTTTAAACTGAAGAATAAACTTGTCATTTTGACATATTTTCCATACTGAAGCTGTCAATAGTATGCTAAACTTTCTCCGGTTAAAAATTATCTGACGATTGAAATATCAACCCTAAGAGGAGTATTATTTATCTTATATTCCGAAATTTCAGCTTTATTTGTTTTCTGCGACATACAAAATAGTAGTATCATATAAAAAAATACTTAATTCCTACGGACCCACCACACAGTCCACTCCATTCTTGCCAGGAATCGAACCGGTTGCACGCGCGCACGTTGACGCGCGCGATGACGCAAACGCAAGTAGAGCGGGACCGAGGGGCCGGTGGCTTGCGCCGGTCCACGCTTCGAAGGGTTTGGTCAATGATTAGTGAATTAATAAAGGATGACTTGGAAGGTTCTGGGTTTGGTGCCCCGCTTTAAATTGAAGGTGGGAAGTTGTGGCATAATTTATTAGAATGGAATATTTTATCACCACTAATCAATTGACACAGTTTAGGTAGGTATTTTTTACGCTGTCGAAATGATGTTTAATCTACACACTAATATTATACTGGACAACAGACTCATTCTTTATGCAATAGAACACTCAACCACTTGCATTAAATCCCCTATAAACTTCAACTCGCTGAAAACTTTACCAAAAACTGCAACTGTAAAGTTTTCCAATTATTTGCCAAATCTTCCCAGATAAGGGAAACTCGGCTCTCGGCTAGTTACCCTACACTGAAAGTAAAACGAAGGCGACAGTTAAACCAGAATTACCCCATTTCTGGGTAAATTATGCCGTATCGTCCATCTGATAGGGATGTAGACAGTTTTATCGTATTAGTTTCACGATTACGGCGACACTTTGATACTCTATTACATTTGATTTTCTATTTTTTCATCAACTCTTATATTTTTAAATACTTTACATATCGCAATATTTGAACAGTTTTGTCAATATAGTGATCAGGTAAACGCAAAAAGAGGTAGGTATTTCATTTTGAAAACCAGGTTGGTTCAAGAATGCAAAGTAGAGCGTAGATTATGAAATATTGACAGTGAAGTTATAATTTGTGTGGCCCACCTGATAATCGATGTGATATGATCAATTCGAATGAAAAGGTTGGAAACAACTATCTAATTATAATATTATACCACGGTTATGTATTTAAGCATAAGTAAGACGATTATATCGATATATTTATCGACACGGGCACATCTCTAACGCAGGCCGGCTGTTTAACAGGCGGCTAAAGTGAGAAATGTCATTATTTATAGCTGTCTCGGAAACACATTACGCTGGCAGCCGAAATATTGTTATTGTACGGAACCCTAATATTAGAACTCCAACGTTTTATTGTTACGAATAAATAAGGTGTTTTCGAAGAGGTTTTATTTTTCGAAAGAGTTATAAGTGCCAAAATAGTGGTCAAAATTTCAATTGATTTCAATGCAACGGATACACTAGGAGACGGATGTTGCGGAACATGTCGCTGACCAACTTAGTGGTGTTCCCGGGGACTGTTTTTGCCCGTAGAGCAACACGAAATATGTCCTGGGTCATGAAGAATATTGCGCAAATCGGGGCAGATTCGGAACGTTACTGCATGCAACACGTAGAATCTGAGTTGCGCAGGACCGATACGACCTGCTAGCTTACAAGAAGAGAGCGTATCTTCACCTTAAAGGCCGGCAACGCACCTGTAACGCCCCTGGGTCTGCGGGTGTCTATGGGCGACGGTAATCACTTACCATCAGGTGTTCCGTCTGCTCGTTTGCCTCCTGTCAGCGTCAAACAGTTCGTACCCAACACATTTTATTAGAATTGGGTTGAATAAAGTTGTGTTATCAACTTCTTGGCCACTCTAGATGTCACGAACTATTTGAAACTGACTGTAC